TCCTCTCACAATTTTTAAATAGGGTTTGTGAATTTTGGAGGGAGGTGAGTCCTCTTGAGTACTTTATAGATCTTGGATATTCATATTTACCTGATGTGTTGCACATGAATATTATCTCCAATTCAGTCTGGTGTCCTTTCCTTGTAGAACATGTTGTTAGCTAGGCAGAAGCTTTTTAATTTTATGAAGTCCCATTTGTGTATTTTTGTTTGAGCTGTCCCTGTCAATGGGTCTGATCATTGGAAACACCTTTGAGGCCCATAGCACTACTTCCTTCTCCAGGGTGGAGCTATCAAACCAAGCCCGATTTACCGCCCATAGAGCTCTGGAGCCAGCATGCAGCAGCCTGGCAGGCAGCCACCAGGTGGCATGTATCCAGGCCCTGTGTCTCAGGGCAGCATTGAGTCACAGGTCCCTCAGCAGAGCCCAGCCTGGCAACTCGCAGGGAGGCCAAGAGTGCATGTCCAGCCAGAAGGCATGCATTACCTCCTCTTGGAACCACACCTAATCCCCTCTGTAGAAGGCTGGATTAACACTGGCCTCCATCTGGCTGGCCATAACTAGAGTCATCCACATACCAAGTTTCTACTAGAACCTGGGTTTGATCCAGCCCCATCAAGTAAGGGGACTCAAGGAGCTCGCCTCTGGCACAGAGTTGAGGACCATCTACTCATGTAAGTCCCTAGCCCCTGCACAGCTTGAAGCTGCCTACACAGGTTTGAAGAAACTCTTCTCACCTAGCTCTGGTGCGGGTTTTGTTTTCCCTTCCATGATCCAGTGCCTGAGCCCTTACCGAGCCCACAACTGGATGTGCAGTTTGGACCCTCACCAGAGCTGTTCCAACTGTGGGGTGTGGAACATGGCCCTTTGGCCACTGCAGAGGCTGCTGCCATTTCCAGAGCCTATCCCAGGTGGCCCCTTTTGGAAACAACACATACAGAGAGCACAGGACCTGGGCAAAGTGAGCACCAAAGCCTGCCGAAGCATCAACACTGCAAGAAACACCTGCAAGTGTTTTCCAGTCACAGCCACAGGTGTCCCTGCATGTGTTCTGGGATGGCTTTACTCTGACACAACCCAATCCCAAGAACATGACACAAACAGCAAGACTCTTCTGGGGCTCCAAGATCCTCAAGGCCTGATAATGAAACCTTTGTTTTCCACCTATCCCAAGAAAATGCACCCCTCAGTCTTTATCCTGGTCACATAAAACATGGCCCCCTCTCCAGGGATTTTGAGATGTGCATTTTCTTGGGAGCACATTTCTTGTGTTAATACCTCCCAAGCCCCAGATAGATCCTTTTCCACCCTCACTCCCGTCCCACTTCAGAGGAATGAAGAGCTGGTCTCAGCAAGCTGCCATCCCTGCTCTAACAGGTAAAAGCCAGGTCCCCAGGGCTTTCCAGATGCTTGATCCAACTTTTCAGGTCCTTTATGAACACCACCACATCAGAGTCTTCTCCATCCAACCCAGCTCCACAGCCCGGCTGCCCCTCTAGGGTCTGCTCCATGGAGGGGGAAGAGTCCAGGGACCCCTCAGCTCCCTGACTGTGACTGCAGGGCTTCCTCAGTGCTTCCCAGTGGAGAGCAGAGCTTTCTCCAGACAGGTCAGTGTTGTTTAAACTCCCAGCACTTGCTGGGGTGGGGCCAGGTGGCAAGGAGCTCGCCAACAGGAACAACATGGAGGTTATGGGCTAGTCTATGGGAATGAGCACAGGCCCCGCTGCTGTATCTGGGTCCTCTGCAGGGCAGCTGATCTGCTCTGAAGTCTGGATGCTGGACTTTGTGTGCCCATAAAAGTGCATGCAGATACAGTAGAAAGATCTGACCACCTTGTTTCAGCTGTGCCATAGTCTGGACACACTTCATTTCTTCCACAGTGATCACAGTTTTAGAGAAAGTAGAACAAAACTGGTGTGCCCAGGAACTGTTCTAGCTTCTAGGGACAAAATGCATGATCAGGCATGTTGAGCCACTTCACTCCAGAAGCTACTGGTGCTGTGGAGGAGCCTCAAGGTTACCCTAAAACATTCCCAACAAGAAATGAATCTCGGCACCAGGAAGCTTGCTGAAGAGGTCTCCTGATCTTGCAGCAGGCCGATTTCACGGGGTGCCTCAGACAGGGGCAGGTGTTGTCCCTCCACCTGCCCCTGACGAATCCAGAGCCCAATGGAAAACGGAGGTATGTGAGACCAGTGACTGCTAACTCTAGTCCTCAAGGGATCAGGGACAGCTGCTCCTTCCCATCTCCTCGCCTCTATGTCACGCCCATGAACTGCCTTCCTCCTTGTGCCATTTAAGCTCAGTAATGGCCATGATCCAGAGACTCAAAAGTGAATCTCAGAATCGAGCAGCTAGCTGCAGAGATTTCTTCAGACACTAATTATTTAAACTTTTAGAATTCCAGGGCGTGCAGCCACTTTTGTGGCCATGTGACTTCTCATGCTATTCATAATAAGCAGCCAATAAGCTATACAAAATAAAGTATCAGTCTGTTAGGCAGGCTTGAGTGCTGGTGTTGGTAAGCTTAGAAATAATGGTGTTGGTATGGTGTAATGGTGGTGGGATTGAAATATTGAATGTAATCCATTATTGTGAATAACTTTATGAAAATAAAATTTAAAAAATTATTTTGCATACCAAAAAAAAAAAGAAACCCATTCCTGACAGGAACTACCTGTGATTTTGAACTCTCTCCAAATTGGCAGAAAGTAACAGAGCACCAAAGGCAATATAGATCCTCAACTATCAGGGATAAAGAACACTGCAGGTTCAGGACACCATGCTCAGTTCCAGAAGTCGAGACAGGACAGACAAGGAAAGATTAAGGACCTTGCTGTTTGTCTTAGTGTAAAGAAAACACCAAGAAAGGACACATGTTCTCTGGATATCACTAATTGTTGCATCCCTAATACAGTTTTCAGAACCTTCGTGCTTGGGGTGCATTACACAGTGCATAAAATCCCTACCCCACAATCCCAAATTTGGGATTCTCTGCCAGCAGTGAGAGGGTTTTTCCCAGGCTTGCGTTCTCAATAAAATTCTTTGAGAACCTCACTTAAAATCTTCGTATCTGCTGTTAGCTAGTACAAGGGAGTAGAAAGAAGCTCATTGTTCATCAACCATTGAAGGAATTGCCAGATTTAGCCCTTCTGCACATGGAATATGATTCTGTAGTTAACGTTTGAACTGTAAAATTAGCTGATGTAGGTGGACCAGGAAAAGCTGTTCTCAGTGAAAGAGGCCACAGAACTCTAGATGGCCAGAGTGTGGGAATCTAGAGGGAGAAAGGAATATGGGGTTCAAGACTCAAGGATCAATGGGAAGAGAAAGGGTGATGGCTGAGTGGAGGAGGTTATGGACACCTTCTGAGGATACGAGCTCTATTTTAAAGTGTGGTGAAATTGTTTTCAAAGGTATTTTGGAACTGAAGAAGAAGTAGTACAGCTGATGGGGAAGTTGCTTTGAAGATGGCCAAGCTGGATTTGATTACTGGCACTCCATATGGTCCCCTGAGCCCAGAAAGGAGTGCTTCCTGGGCAGAGCCAGAGTAAGCTCCAGGAACCATTTTGTGTGACACTAAAACAAATCAAATTGAATGTTGAGAATTGGGAAAATTGTATACACATTAAGGTGCTTGTGTTGCATGTGCACAGCCCTCGTTCTACTGATGTCTAGCACCACGTTGTCCCCTGAGCTATACCAGGAGTGAGTCCTAGAACAAGGTGCTCTGTAGAGCAGTCACTGTTGGGTGTGACCCACGAACTCAGTGAAGAAATAGAGTCTGTCTCCCACATCTGTGAGAGCTCCTTTGTGTTGCTCTCTCCCATGCTGTGATTTTTCCCAGCGTGATGCCCTCAATCTTTGATGTGCTTTTTAATGCATTCCAAGGAAAAGGCAGCAAACTTAAGCCTCACCTATGTCCACAGAATTGGGTGGGTCTGCTGAAACTGAGCACATCTCCCTACGGGTGGGGAGGACTCCTCCCTCCTCCAGGGAGCACAATGTCTCACAGGACCCAACCCCTGTAACGCCCTTACCTGTTTTCATCTCAGGATTGTCCAAGGAGCATGAGCGACAGGAGATACCAAGAGTGTTTTCAATGAAATGAAATTTATTAACTATTTACACAATGACATAAAGGGGCTGCTCCAGCACAACCCCACCACTGGGCCCGCCAAACAATACAGAGAAGTCCTAGCTGGATGAAGATCAGGTGGAAGACAAGGCTGCTAGGGGCAGCCAGGCTCAGGAGGGAGCTCCCCGGTGTCCTACTGGATGCTGTACCCATCCTGTACTGTACTCTTCTGGGCTACAGCAGCCTGGAACCTTCTCTTTGGGGGCAGGGAAGGACCCACCAGCTCCACAGTCAAGGCTGAGCCCCCAGACACCCTGGGGTGCTCCCCAGGGAAGGGGGTCTTCTCAGTAGTGCCCAGTTCTGCACTCCCACACAGAGGCCGCTTCCTAGAAGGGGCAGTAGCAGGGGCAGTAGGATTACAGGCCCTTCTGTGAGTGGGTTGGGGCCGAGAAGCCCCCCAGGCCCTCGGGCAACAGGGGCCAGTGTCTGAGCCAGGGCTTATGGGGAAGCCCCAGGGCTGAAGGCTATGTTGAGAGGCCTGGAGGAAGGCCAGGCTGGGCATCTCCTCCTCCTCACTGGAGCCCTCTGCTGCTCCATGTGGCCCCTGGCCAGGAGGGGCCTCTCCCAGCATGAGGGAGACCCTGCTGTCCAGAGTAGGGGCACCGAAACCAGGACAGGGGGCCTGTTCTGCATGAAGGGATGGGGATTCCAGGCTCCCCAATGAGAGGACAGAGGCTCGAGGTGCCATCGCAGTGGCCTCAGCCGGCACAGGCCTTGAGGCATGTCCAAAGTCAGTCTCAGGGTGACAGGATTCAGCGCTGGCCCCTGACTTATGGCCCCAGGTAGGTGTTGGGTTCCAGTGACCTGCTGCACTCTCAGATGGACTTGAGTCCTTTGGAGTCAGCTGGTGTTGGGGACAAGCCTTCATGACCTCCTTGTCCTGCTCAGTTCGCAGACGCTTTTCCACAATCTGAAGGGAGGAAGGACAGTGTGGGCATGTGGAGGTGCAGGGTGGGACATAGCGTGACCCCGACTCCTCCCAGAGTAGAAAACCCAGATCTCTGTCCCACTAAGGGCCCTCACCCCCGCCAACCCTTCCCTCACCCCATATTCACGTCCTCATCTTCCCTGAGGACTCAGAGGGAGGCCCCTGGCCATGGCCTGGGCAGGGAGGGCACCAAGTGACTAGGCCCCAGTGCTGGGCGCCCCTCCCTGACTCATGACCCACCTGCTGCTCTGAGTGCCCTGGGACCTGTCCCCTGTGTCCCCTGCAGGGACTCTTTTCCAGCAATCACATGCAAAATGCCTCGTGTTTGACGTGGGCCACTACCCATTGCCTTAGAGGAAACCCTCACATTATTCCCCTGGGTCCTGCATGGACCCCAGAGACCTATGTGCCTCACCTGTGTGGGGGTGAGTCCTTCCTCCTCCTCCAGCTCCTCAGCCAGGTCCAGGAGATCCAGCTGGGATTCTGGGGAGAGCAGGTGCGCCAGGAAGCTGGGGTGAATGACTGCCTCGACCTGGGAAGGGGAAGCGGGTGTGAGGGTTCTCGTACGGACTAGGAAGGAATTAAGATGCAAACACACCCGTTCTCAGCACAGTGCAGGGTCTTGGACGGTTGCACCAAGTCTCTGTCATGTACACACATGACACAAAGACACACACTCTTCCACCTCTAGGCACATGTACATGTATCCACACGTTTCTGCTCAGAGCCCACACAGTACACACAGATGGAGACACACAGAGATGTTCACACATCGACCAAACCCAGAAATTCACAAACTAGGGCCAATATTTGTACACAGGGAGACACATGTGCACACATACACACAAACACAAGTAGAAATATGTCACTACCAAGTCCTGGACAGAAGCAACCCTGCACCCTCCCCACCCTACAGCAGTGCCCAAAACCCACCTTGGTGACAAAGGCCTCCTGGGAACACAGCTCATACACATAGCTCAGGAGCCCCGGCTCAGGGTAGATCCCGGCCTCCTCCTGCTGCTCCTTCCTGCCCGCTGCCCTTCGGCCAACGGGCGCCCCGCAGACTGTGTCAGGGGCCTTTAGCAGCTCGTCCATGATATCCATGTTCTCCTGCACGGCCTCAGGGGGGATCTCCTTGGGGGCCTTGGTTTTGGGGTCCCACTGTGGTTTGTGCGTCTTGGGGCAGGCTGCCCGAGCCCGGGGTTTGGATTTCTTAGGGACACAGGCTGAGGAGGAAGCAGGAGAGAGGGACGTGAGGGGACCCCGCGTCCATTGCCCTCAGACACACAGCACTGAGCACAAAAATGGGGACGGATATCTGTGGGCTGGGTCAGGTCAAGTGTGTGTCAACCCCACTTCAAAGGTGAGTCTGACGCCCTCATGCAGTGTGCTGTGTTCAGGGAGAGGGAGAAACCCAGGAACAGGGGGCCGCTGAGCATAGGCCTGGGTGTCCCCGGGAGAGTGAAGGCTCCCTGGCAGGGCAGGAACGCTAGCACCTTCCTGGGCCTATGAAAATTAGCTGGGGAACAGGGTCGGTACCTGGCTGCTGGCCTAGTGGTGGGCCTGGAGCACCCTGAGGCTCAGGCCTGGGTGGAGCAGGGGTTGGCAGGCCCTGTACTCCATTCATCCACTGCAGCTTCTGCGCTTCCATCTCTTCCTCAGCCTCAAATTCCATGAACCTGGTATGGGGAGCACAGACCCCATTTAGATGGGCTGGCCGGGACCACACTGGATGAGGTACGGACAGGGAACACTCACGGCCAAGCCCTCAGGAGGGTTGAGAATGGGTGGGCACAGACCCCAGCGCCCCCAGTGATTCCCCATATCAGCCTTTTGAGGGTCACAGAAAATACGGGACTGTGACCCCCAGACTGTGGTCAGGGGCCCCAGAGTGGCGTGGGGAGTAGTGTCCAGGCCCCAGGAGGGACAAGCTTCCGGAGGGGAAGGGCCTCCCGGGGATGCCAAGGAACCCTTATCCATCTGGGAGCAGCCCCTGAAGCCCGGTCCCGCAGCCAGCCCCAATCCCCACTCTCTGCCCAGGACTGATTTACTTGGCAGCCATGTCGTAGTAGATCATGCGGTCAAAATTGCTCGTGCCCTCCCATTCCCGCAGGGCCCGGCGCAGGCCTTCCTCCAGGCTCATGGTGGGCTTCAGGCGGGCCAGGGTGCGCAGAACCGGGCTGCAAGGACAGGCTCAGTAAGGTTCTGTATCTGCCGGGAGCCCCGGCTGCCCTACACCCATGCTTAGACCCCCGGTGGGGGCCTGGTCTCCCCGCGCAGAGTTGACTCTGCCTCCCACACCCCAGCTCAGTGGCCATGCTGGTGTGATCCCTCAGCTCTGGGGATACGTCATGAGATACAAGGCTGAGCAGTCACGGCCTGTCTGAACCCTGGTGCATCTGTGCTGTGTCTGGTCTTAGGAACAGAATGTCTGTCCTATAGACCACAGGTCAGGACCAACCCTGATGAGGGGACTGAGTTGAAGCTTTAGGGCATGACTGGTCACTATGGGATTTGAGCCGAAACCCCGGGATGGCATTCCTGAGGTCATGCTCTCATGGACCCTACCCTGGGGGTCACCCTAGTCCCTTCCTGTGAAGCTCACATTAGGTCTAGGACAACCGAGGGACTTACATGAGAAAGCAGGAAACGGCCTCAGTGTCCGGAGTCTGAGGAAGGTACCTCCGGGTCAGGGCCTTGAAGCGCTGCCAGCGCCGAAAGTTCTCGTAGACGGTACTGGGGCTACTGGATGTTTCAGGTGATGCCTGGTTCCGGGTGGTGGCTGGACCACTCTCCCCACAAACCCACTGGGGCTGTGATCCACCACTGGATGGGAGGATGATGGGAACCACCTGGTCCACTGGCAGTGGAGCCTGAGGAGGATGGTCTCCTGTCCCAGCCTGGGTGACAGTAGTAGCTGGGGTCGGCATAATGGTCTCCTGCACAGATGACACCAAGTAGATGGGTGCAGGATGCCCATTCACGGCAGATGGAACTTCTGGACCCCCGTAGTTGAGTGAAGACTGTGTCAGGATGACAGGCTGGTTCTTTGCTGATTCCACAAGCCCCACATCAGGGCTGACCTGGATGATGACCTTGCAAGGTTCAGGAACTTGGGGACCATGGCTGGCAGCTCCTGCCACCACCGGCATCATGGGGAAAGGTGACAGCACCAGAGGATTGCCAGGAGCGATGGCCGAGGTCACCAGAGGGGGCATCTGGATCGGCTCCCAGGGTGGTGGCTGGGGGAGCCCTGGATTGAGAAAGGGCAAGACCCGGAATGCAGAGCCGGAGACCCCAAGGTTCATGGTCATCTCTGGGAGCAGCACAGGAGACACTGTGGAGAGGAGGGAGGGGAGTGAGAGGGAGACGGTGTGGGGGGGAGCAAGGCCTCACTGGCCCAACCATCTCTAGATCAGGCCCTTTGAAAGGAATGAGGTGGTGTGCCCTGTCTCAGCCCTGAGTCCCGGGCACAGGCCATCCCTCCCCTCCAGCTGTGTTATACTTCGTGGAGATCCTAAGGCTAGGGTTCTTGTGTTCTGGGAGAGTTCCATCAGGGATGGCAGCAGGTGTGGAAATGGCCAGAGATTTCACCAGTCAGACACTTGGGGATGTTTCCAGAGTTCTGGAGCTGCTGATCATGTTAGATTGAAAATTGGTAACATCTTCTAAATAATCTAAGACTTTATCCCAGAGACAGATACAGGATAATAAACATCAGGCATAAACCAGGTGCCAGGAAAGAAAATTGTCTGCCACCATCGTTACTCAGGTGGAATTCACACAGAGACTCGCCCTAGAGACGTCCCAGAGCCTGTGAGCATCATGCTCAGGACAGAGGCCCTGATGTCTCCAACTGCTCTGACGATGCTCTTTCTGCCTCAGTACACTCAAGGAACAGACCTTCACAGACTTTTCTCAGGAAAACCCCACATGTCACACACACACACACACACACACACAGAAACACACACTCATTCTCACAAACTCACACATAGACTCACACATCCATTTATTCCTTGTCTGTGAGGGAAGTATCCAATTCTCAATCAATCTTCACCTCAGAGCTGAAATGCTTGCTGGGGCTGCACCATGAGATGCCAGACCATGGAAGAACAAACTTCACTAAAAGGAGAGCAATCCAGAACAACTCAGGAAGCTGAGTCGTAACTACGCTGAAGTCACCTGTCTCCCAACCTGCTGACCCAAGACAACTGCTGGGCTCAGCCAGCAGACAGTTTAATTCTGCAGAAGTGTCAGGCTCTGACTGTGGCAGTTAGTCACTTGCAGCCCAGCTCTGGGGAGGACGCATCATGGCAGAAGTACACACAGACAGCCTCAATCAACAAGGTTCAGCCTGGACCATCTGAGCTGAGCTGTCCACATCAGGTTGAGCTCAGCCCAAGTCTAATTACTACTAAACTTATTCTACAACACAGGAGGAGACATGGACTCAGCATGCCTGGGTCTTCCCTGTGCCACCACAAAACAGTCCCTCCAGACACATGACAAGTGGCCTTGTTCCCCCATCCACCAGCGGGACACTCACATATAAAGCAGCCATATGCCTGCTGCCTCCCTCTGTCCATACCAATGACCTTCTCCCAGGTAATTTGACACACCTCCAAGGATGCCCTCCCAGACCCCTCAGGTTCTCCTGGACTCCCTTTGCTGTACAGGTGAGCTATCTATGGAGCCCAGGTCTTTCTCCTCTTTCACCCACTCAAAACATGGTGTTCCCAGTCAGGGTGACTATGAACCCAAATGGTTTCAGTGTGACAGAGACTTTCTCACATACACAGACACCCTCACAGGCTTACCTCCTCCTGACGCCATCGCCATAGACGTGGCCAGATGCCACTGCAGTTTATCAGCCTTCACAACGGCAAAAATCAGGACCAGGATCAGAGAGTGAACTGCTCACGCAGACGCTCAGGATCCCAGTGGGTGAGGGTGAAGTTTGAATTCAAACCTCAGAATCTTGGGCCCAAGACATTCTGCAGTGGGGGAGGGGAGGGCCAGGAGGGCCTGGCTGGGGAAACATTCCATGAAGGGCTCTGATTGGACGGCCAGAACCAGAACTTTCCTTCAAACTGCTCAATGGCAGAGCAGCTCACATGGTCTCTTTCAGCCACTTAGACAAAGTTTCCCAATTCTCAGCACACAGGTTGGCTTGGTCTTCGTTTTATCTCAATACTTTATCCACTAGTCTAGTTGTGTGCCCCTCAAATCTCTCTCCTTCCTCTCTTCCTGTTGACCTCCTTCAACAGAGTCTACGCTTTCTTTGCAATATTCAGTCATTTGTGACTTGTGAACCCATGGAGGTCAAAAATTAAAAGGAGTTTTCCCAAGCAAATGCAGTGGGCTTTGCTTTTTTGTTTCTTTGTTTTGCTGATCCTTCATTAGGGTCCAATCCCTAGGACTGAAAGTAATGTAGATTTGTCTAACACGTTTGACTAGCTTTTTCAAAGTTTCTTTCTACTGGAAGCTCTTATCCTTCCTGGAATAGCCATGAAGTTTCTTTTTAAAACAGCTACAAAGCACAAACTTACTTCTTTGCATTTGCAATACATTTTATGGATGATTTGCCTCCTAAATATAATGTTGAATTGAGGAATATCTTTAGTGGTTCAAAGCTAAGTTTTGCCAAAGGCTCAGTGATGTGTTTTTAATGCATGGCTGGGTGTTCCCTTCAACTTCGCCTTGTAATACAATGCTCTCTCCCACACCAAACTGGTTTTCTGTTGTTAACATATTTCTAGACATGTACTATGAACTGAAACCCCTACGGATCTCATTTTTATGAACTCATAACTGACTTCCACTCTGGTTAAAAGTACATGTACGTTCTACCAGCTGGCATGTGTAGTGATTTCTTTATATTGGTCAAACGGCTTCTCTCTTGTTCAGGAGACTCCATCCCCACAGCAAGAACTTCTGCAGTCCCTAACTGAATCCTTATTATGCCTGAAAAGCCACCAATCTCGTGCATGACTGGCCGACTTTGAACCACTGCACCCTGTAGGTGCGCGCGCATTGGGGCTGTCCTGGCTCAGTTCTAAGCAGTTAGAGGTAACGGACACGCACGCGCACCTGCATCTGTCGCGGGGTCTGCAACTGCCAACGTCCTACAAGCTATGGGTGTAATGATTCCTCTTTGGGATAGTCGCACCCATGCCTATGTTAGGCTCAACAGAGGGGTATGTGGCACTGTCCAGCTGTCTCGGGGGCGCGTATCCCCCAGGCTGTGGCAGCGCCGCACACCTGCGCCAGATGTGTTCCGGATCTGGACGCTGAGAGCTAGGGTGGTAAAGGACTCCTGAGACCATTCAGACTGCTACTTGGGGTCGGAGTGAATGTGCAGCGGGGGAGGGCCATTGCCTTGCATATGGCCAACCTGGCTTCCATCGTCTTCATCCCAGATTGTACCCTGAGTACCGCCAGAGTAATTCCTGAGTGCAAAGGAATTCTTCAGCACAGCCAGTGTGCCTTCAAACCAAAATAAAAGAATCCCAAAATACAACAGCAATAAAACAGCAGGAGCAAACAAAGCCCTTCTACCATGTGGACCTTTTGTGTAGGATGCAAAAGCAAACACAAAGTTTTTCCTTATTTAAAACTTTAGCCCTTGAACATGAAAAAAGTCAGGTCACTCCTAAATGGAGAAAAGGGGAAGCTCTAACATACATAGAAAATACATACATAGAAAAGCTTCACCTTTGTTTCCCAAAACGTTTTAGAAACCAACAATTAGGTTCCATCACTATTTCTTCGTCAATAAATGAAACCGTTTTCTTAACTTAAAATATTGAAACAATCATAATCCGACTTCCAATTGTTGTGCAATTGGCAGCCTGTTTGGCAGGAGATGCAAGAACTAAGCAAATATCGACAGAGATATGTAAGGTTCAGTTGAGCTTACAAAATTGACAGTGAAACTTTATTTTTGTATATTTTAATGCCTTAAAACATTTTAAATGTGTGTTCATCATCTGTAGTATTTTAGGACAAGACACTTCATTTATAGAGACCAGGTAGAGGTGTCCAGCCATTGTCAGCTCACAAGTACATGGGTGTAATGCAGCAATCCCAGATCTGTTTGAGTTTAAGCATGGCGATTACCAGTTCCAAGAAAGCAGTAGGATGGCCAGATGACAGAGACAGGGATTTCAGATTGTTAACTTCAGGAAGCAGCTAGTGAAATTTTGGGCCCAGCAGAGCAAGCTGAGCTTGATGACCCCTCAAATATGAGGAACCTGTGGTGGTGGTAGTGGTTCTCATATCATGGCTACACTAATTCAGTTGCCTTCATCCCACGAAGAATTTGTTAGGATGAGAAATATCTGCTGTAGAAAGGGGAGAGCAAAGAGCAATTGGAAAGAATCTTGAGAAATTCCAGAGGGAAGGAGGATGGTGTACTGGGCAGACAAGGCAGAAGCTTATTGAGTGTGTCCAATCTCTCATGGGAGTAGCGAGTCATGGAAGCTCTTATGGATTCTTTCCCAGGGCACAGAATGAGGGGTGTTCTTCAACCTGAGTTGTGAAGTTTGAAAACTTAGGCACCTGTGTAGTGGTCATGGGATGTGGTTTTCTGCACGTTATATGTGCATCACACAACTAAGGTCATATATGTTGTCATCAGTAACTCTCGACCTGGGTGCCTTTCCCCACCATTGTCCTCAGATCTCTTTCAGTCTGCTTCTTCCTTGACTGAGGTTTACTTTTGTAATCAAAAGTCAAGACATCTTTTCATTCAGGAATTTTTAATTACTTTCCTTTGTTTATATAGCACGCTGAGATCCTACAAGATTTGTCCTTTCTCTGAATTCTTTTGCTTGTCAGGATGCCCTCCATCCATCCAATTTGCAGGAGTCTGCAAGATTTTACCGTTTCTTGTAGCTGAGTAGTGTTCTGTTGTGCGTGTTTATACTACAACTTTATCTGTTTATGTGTCCATTTGGGGTTTTCCTGAGTATTGTACTTAGCATGGCAGTGAATATAGGAGTGCATATATCATTTTGACTTTTCTATTAAGGGGTTTTGGTAGGAACATGCAAATGTGAAATCACTAGGTCTTTTGGAACCTATATTCTTGCTCCACTACCCAACTGCCGCCACACTCCATGCTGCTTTCCACACACTTGGGCCGAGCCTCACATACGAGTGAAGATATTCCTGGCCACATCCCTACCCATTTTCCATCATTACCACACCATATTTGATGGGTTTCAGACAGTAGGCAACAAATGATAGAGGAAATATATATATTTATATATAAAAATAAATTAATATCTTATCACTGTCCTCCCATTGTTCATCGATTTGCTCAAGTGGGCCCAGTAACGTCTCCATTGGACACTTTGTTGTTACTGTGTTTGGCATATCGAATACATCCCGGGTAGCTTGCCAGGCTCTGCCGTGCAGGCAAGATACTCTCCCTAGCTTGCCGGGCTCTCCGAGAGGAGTGGAGGAATCGAACTCGGGTCGGCCATGTTGGCTGCGTGCAAGGCCAATACCCTACCACTGTGCTATTGCTCCAGCCCATAAATAAATATATAAATATTACATATGTTACATTTATATATTATATAAATATGTATTATATTTATATATTACAGAGAGTCCGATAATCTACTGAGAGTATCCTGCCCACACTGCATTTTAGGCTATTCATCTTTGGATATTATTTTCTTGTCAATTTTGTTTATTCTTCCAGAACCAACTGGTGAATTGGCTAAGTATTCCTTTCATTTGAGAATTTTCTTATTTCTTATTTTTAATTTTATTTTTATAAAGTAGTTCACAATATTTGATTACATTTTATATTTGATCACCAATCCCAACACCATTACACATTCCCACTACCATATTTCGGATGTTTTCACCCGAACCCCAACCCCTGCCCCATAGCAGAACCAAAATAATTTATTTTGCATTATTTGTTATGAATAAAATGCTAAAAATGCTCCAAAATGTTTCTTTAGAGAAAAGTGTGTGAAGATTGTTGTATTTCACGCAGGAACCACTAAACCCTTCTATAAGAGATTATGAGCCTGTTGTTAAAGGTTCAGCCCTTTGTGCATAGATATTGGGCTGGAGCGATAGCACAGCCCTAGGGCGTTTGCCTTGCATGCGGCCAACCCGAGTTCAATTCCTTCGTCCCTCTCAAAGACCCTGCAAGCTACTGAGAGTATCTCGCCCGCAAGGCAAAGCCTGGCAAGCTACCCGCGATTTCTTCGATATGCCAAAGAAAGTAACAAGTCACAAAATGGAGACGTTACTGGGCTGCTGGTGCAAATCCATGAACAATGGGAGGACAGGAACAGTGATATACATATATATATATATATATATATATATATATGTAAAGATATATTTCCCTCAAGAATTGGTTGCCTTCATCAAATGTGGTGTGCCACTCTTGGAAAATGGGTTGTGTCAGGTATGAAATGCAGCCGCACGGTCGTGGAATAGGTTCAGTCACGGGTGAGGCTCTGCCTGAACATGTGAAAAGCAGCTGTGACCATGGCAGCGGTTGAATTCTGGAGGGTTTTGGCTGCCACGGCTTGACTAAGGCCTTCAGTGCTGTGAAATTTCTCTTAACTCTGCAGCATGTCACGTGTTTTAGAAAGATGTGTTTCCTTTTTTATTTGTCTCATTTTCCCCCCTCTAATTTCCACTTAACTTTCATTCTCATACCATTGGCTGTTCAGAGTTTTTTTATTTTCATGCATATATGTAGTTCTAATTTTTCTTTATGATTAATTTTTACTTTCTTGCAATTGTCTTCCATTAGTTACTTGGCATGTTTTAGATCTTCCTGAAATTGCTAAGAA